CTAAGGTAGGTACGGATAGGTAACTTACCTCCAGGTGCTGTAACGGGTGGAGTGGAAGCTCCCCCACTGTGGCCTGGCGGGGAGAGATGGACTGATCTAGTGTCAGCTGCTGTGCAGAAATAGAAACTTCAAGAAACTGCTCATCAGCAGGACATTCTATTAACCGGGCATGCCACCGCACGCCCGTCGTCTCTACACCTCAAGGAGGTATGATATTCCATTTGATGCCTCACAAGTGCTCTTATTCTCTTACTCGTCCTTTTGGTTCGCCCAACCCGACAGACTCCAACATCCATTTCCTCAGAGCAGGCATTGGACCGCCTGTCAGCACATACTTGACGCACAGTGAGGCAGGCACCTACCTACCTGCCTAAGGTACCCTGCCACCTGCCATTGGCTCAATTGGGGTAGCTCCCTACCTATCCGTACCTAAGGTACGGCACCTGAGGTAGCATTACCTCATACCCTACTCCAGTATCGCCGCCCGCCTCTGACGCAGCCTCAACCCCACCTTTTCCGCCTGTTGTTACTGCAGCTGCAATCATCTTGCCGACCATCTCTCGATCTTCCATTGGATCCTTCTATTTCGCTCTTGTCTCTCGCTGGCTTGACACCTTTGCTACACAAAGTACAATCAAGGACCAACCTCCTCCCATCACCCGGAGGGTCTCCTGAGCTCCCACAAAACGCTGTCATCAATGCCATGTCCCCAGATTTGAACTCTCTTCCTCCTTCATCGCCCCCATCTCTCCCTAACCGATCCAGAATGTCTTCATCCAACGGCGATTCTCCAATGCCACCTTCCGTACCGGCTCCTGCTGGCGCCCCAACGCGAGGCGAGTCTCCCACTGGCTCCCCGCGTCGCCTGTCTACATCGTTGCAGGCTGCCGCCACCATGAATGCGGGTCTTCAACACGAACCATCCAGACGTAAGTTGGTTCGCTCCTCAGTATGGCCTTCTGTAACTCACCTGACATGGTATCTCAGGCTCATCGAGCGGCTCGCTCTCGCGAAGCCGACAATCTCCTGGCGCCGGCCGCCGACGATCGACTGTTTTGATGAATCTGCAACTGAACGATCCTTCAGTTCCCGGTCCTGGTGAAATGGTCGCGGATGGCCAGCATACCCAACATAACAGCGGTGTCAACACTGCCAGCCCTCAGCCTATGGCAAGCTCGCCTCTCATGGTAGCCGCCGGTGATCCCCATCACAACCGTGCTCCTAGCTTGGGAGAGCTCCATCAGGAGCTTGAGGCAGAGCAAGAAGCCCAAGTCGTAAGTGTCCTGCTTTCAAGCCCCCTCCCAGTTGGATCTTCTGTTTCAGGGCCGCACCAAGAAGCTAATGATAATGTCATTACAGAACCGGCTGCTTCACATGATTCGCCAACAGCAACTCCAACTGCAGCAACTCCAAGCCGCTCAAGGACAAGGCTCTTCCGCCATCGAAGACTCTGCGATTGCCTCCGAGAGATCCAATCAGGGCACTCCTATCTCTCAGCCAGCCGCTGCCATACCTCCTTCGGGATTCGCGCCTCTGCCCTCTTCCGGCTCCTTCTCTCGTTCCCCTGGAGTACCTCACCACCCTCGGAGCTCTTTCGACATGGCGAGAGCGGACATCCAACGCCGGTCTAGAACCCCGAGTCGCGGCGCCTCCCCCAGATTGCGTTCAACCTCTATGAGCGGCGACAGTGGCGATCATTTTCTTCTTGGGGGCCGCGACGAGAGCGCATTCTACCAAGCAGAAACTCAGATGCTGGTTAGAGAGAATCAAATGCTGCGTCATCGCATTCGTGACCTAGGCAAGCCTGCCCATGTGCGCGTTTCGGTTGTGATTCATGCTAACAGGTGTTTAGAGAAACAATTAACGGACTTGGTCCCTGGCATCACAGCTCACGGTAACCCTAGCGAGCCCGCCCATTCATCTCATCTCACGAGAGCTACTTCAGCGGGCGAAGAGGATCAAACCACTGCACGAACCACCCCGTCCATCGTCGCTGTTCCTTCTGCGGTCGCGGCGACTAAAGAGACGTCGTAGCTAGGCTATGGCGTGCGACATGATGTTCACCAGGGGAGCTCGCCTTGTATAGGTTATGTTTCCGCGCACTCAAATGGCTTACAAATCGAGCGTTTGGTGTCGCAAATAGCCCGATATTCTTTTCTCACGATTGCGACGACATGGCAACGGCGTTAAGGAAGTACGAACCAGGGTACAGGTCGTCACCCATATTTTTCAGGCAGGCGGCTTCAACTCCACGGAAACACGGCTTAGCAATCATAATTACACATTCACGTCTTCTCGTGTTATCCCGATGATAATAAAGCTCTAGGCTGTCATCTCGCGCGTGATATTATGAGGTACGTCCTGTGGTGATTACGCGAGAAGGCTGAACTTGGCTGGTCGCAGAACAGCCATGTTGGCACATTCAACCACTTGGCATGATTGATTGAGACCTGAGTGTGGTTCAATGGATGGAGTCGTTCAGGTGCTAGCTAATGGGACCGTGTGCACTGTTGCGTCTCGGGGTTTCTGACATTCTGTTTTCGCGAGAGAGTAGCGGTCGGAATCCTTGGGTGCTCTTTATTAGTCAGTCCATCGTAGGTGCGTTCAGCAGGATACGCAAGATGCCTGGGGCAGAAGCTCGGTAAATGCGATTGATCAGCATAAGGAGATGCGCGCTCGAGAAACTGCGTCGCCTTGTAGCATGTCGTAGAATAGGGCCGCCCTAGGTGTTCAGTGCTTTCAAGAGTGACAGTAGAGCAGCCAAATTTACCTGGTGAATGTCTCTTCTTATTGCAAAAGGTGGGAAGCTCCCAATGCATGAGATTTTCAGCGGAAGGACCTCAGATAAGTAAACATTGAATTCAGTACAGTTTCCCTCGGGAAAATGCAGCTTGTCCGCGGCGAGCGACTGGTTCTCAGCGTCTTCCTTCTCTCACAATGCAGCAGATTCAAGTCCTGTGGCCTTGAACTCGGATCAGCGCTGTAGAATCTGTTCTGCCTGCTCTCCCCCGGTCTTCATCAGATTAGGCCCACGATTGATGTCGTTGTCGTTGATTGAAGCCAATGAACTAATACGGTACACAGCTTGTTGAGACACCGGGAGCCTATCGGGTGTCCCCTGCTAACACTTGGAGCGGACCCGGCGCCCCGGAAACACCCCGGCAGGCCCCCGGTGGCGTCATCGGCACTTTTTAACATCTCTACCCACTTCGACAGCTCAGGCGTTCCAAGCTCTGCGAAAGAACCACCTGGAGTCGCCATTCTTAAACATGTTGCTGAGGCCGTTGTGTGCGAGATCCATCCATGGCTTGGGCCGGACCCGTCGAGGCTTCTCAACCACAGCTTCGGTGAGAGCCGACTTCACCCACATTGTGAGTTTGAACTGTCACCGTAACTCCCGGATCCGCGTCGGAGGCCGCTCCGTTGCGCCGGCGCACGCCATAGCACGTAGCATTACGCCACGCACGACGGCCCTTAATCGCAGAGTAGAACAAAAACGAGAAGACACGGGCTAACTGAGATGACAAAACAGGTCGTTGGGGGTGGCGCGGTAGGTCTCGCAATAGCCCGGGCACTCGCCCAACGCCCGGGAACATCCACAGTTGTCCTCGAGCGCCACGGCGCTGTCGGCACAGAAACGTCCTCACGAAACAGCGAAGTCATCCACGCCGGACTCTACTACGGCGCCGGTACCCTCAAGACGGAGCTCTGTATCCGCGGCAAGGAGCTCCTCTACGCCTTCTGCCGCGAGCGTGGCGTCGCACACGCCAACACCGGCAAGTGGATCGTCGCGCAAACGCCCGCGCAGCGCGAGGCTCTGCAGCGCGTGCATGACTTTTGCAGAAACGAGATCAACGTGCCCATACGATGGGTCGGCGAGGAAGAGGCGCGCCGCCTGGAGCCGGGTGTCCGCGGCGAAGCCGGCATTCTCGACAGCCCAACGACGGGCATTGTCGATTCGCACAGCTTGATGGTCGGCCTGGTGGGGCTGTTTGAGGATGCTGGCGGCGAAGTTGCGTTGACCTCGGCCGTGACGGGTGTAACGCCGCTGGGTGAGAAGGGCAGCCAGGGGTGGGAGGTGCGTGTTCGGGACTCGACCACGGGGGAGGAAAGCTTAGTGACGGCCGAAGTGCTGGTGAACGCGGCAGGTCTCGGATCCGTCGACCTTCACAACATGATTGTGCCTCTTGAGAGAAGGCGGACTTTATTCTATGCCAAGGGAAATTACTTCTCGTACTCCCGCTCGAAGCCAAAGGTCGGTAGGCTAATCTATCCGGCGCCCGAGCCGGGTGCTGGTGGCTTGGGCACGCATTTGACGCTGGATCTTGCTGGGAGGGTGCGCTTTGGACCCGATGTGGAATGGGTAGACTCACCCAATGAACTGGCGGTCAACGGTTCACGATTGCCCCTGGCCATTGAAGCCATCAAGAAGTACCTGCCGGAACTCGACGAAAGTTGTCTCGAGCCAGACTACGCCGGCATTCGACCCAAGCTAGGACAATTGGGCGCTGTTGCGCAAGGCACAGGGTTTCACGACTTCGTCGTGAGAAAGGAAGAGGGATATGAGGGCTGGGTGAATCTGCTCGGCATAGAATCTCCCGGCTTAACAAGTTGCTTGGCCATCGCGGAGCGGGTGGATAAGATTCTGTATGAATAAACTCTTTTGTCATTCATTCTGTGTTTAACCCAGCCTCGACCGAGATCAGAACAGTATAGCCCCAAGATGCATATTATACATACAAGATACTCAGTGACGCTAGCAGACATGCATCAAAACACTCCTCCCAAAGTTGTAGTGATAACCAGATACCGTATGATGCCACACACTTCAAAACGGAATCGTTTCTGCTGTCAGCTCTCCCCTACAGCTTCCATTTCAACTCCTCAAACGCCTATTCCGTGAAAAGAATCGATGGCAAAGGTTTTTATTGCCGTGATCTGCAACAGTGCCCGCAATCGTAACGCCTGTGGAAAAGAGGAATGATTACAATGACCCATGCTTATCGCAAAGTCAAGTTCGGGCGGAATTTCCGCCCTTGTACATCAACGTGAAACTCGTAGATGCCGTTTTCTGCGCCGACATACCTAGACCCGTCGTCAGTACACGCCTGATTGATGTGCCAAAGGGGGCCTCACAAAATGCGGCCGTCCTCGCTCCACGAGATCCCAGCCGTGTTGTCGGGCTCTGGAGGAGCCTCATGAACACCATGCTCCAGCACGACGCGTCGCCGAGCACTGCGCTCCTCTAGCTCGCGGATCGCAACAGAGTTGAGCAGTGGCAAAATCGAAGACCGATCTCTGTCACGATCTCTGGTGGCGCTGCGCAGGTCTTGAATATTACTTTCGAAAGAAAGGCTGTACACAGCTTCCAAATCGGCCCAACCGCTACCGGAAGGCGTCAAGCTACGTAAGTCGTTGGCGGTTCGCTGGGTTGCAGCAGAGGAGTCACCTGGTCGAATACTCGCAGGTCGCCTCGGAGGATGGGCATTCATCATACCCAGCATGCGCTCTCGGTCAGGGCTCGACTGTAGAATAAGCCGATGCGCATTGCGTATCCGCTCTTGGGCCCGTTCTCGCGAGTCTCGAATATTACCTAAGAGATCCCCGATGGCGCGAGATACACTGCCAGGCTGGAAGTCGCTGCGCTCCTCTATTACACGCGCCGCATCAACTTGCTCTACCATGCTGCGAGACATACTACTGCTTCGCACGCGCGTCGTAGCTACTCTGGTGTTAGATTCGTGGTCAATCAAGCGGGGAGAAGCGGCGCCCCGATAAGAGGGTAGCTGTTGAGGGGTTGACAGACTTGCCGCCTGCTCCGCCATACGGGCTGCTATCCGGTCTCTCTGCTCTCTTCTCCGACGTTCGTCTTGCAGAGCTTCAAGCACCCGCGTCTCATCGGGAGTCAAGGCCAAATGATGCCTCTCCAGACCTTCGGATCCTCGTCGTCGGCGACTTTCTCCAATACCGAGCGGGGCGGCAAAAGGGGACGGCGAAGCGGTTTCCCGCTCGCCACGACCTTCCAAAAGGCGAGGGTCAATGGTTGCGCGGTCAAGCACGGTAACGTGCTCGTAGTCGCCCTCCGCACTGATATCCAGTACTTGACGCTGTACAAACCCAGATCTCAGGTCAGCTACGCCTACATGACCGCGATCTTCTGTCCACGCCAAGAGATCGTAAGGACCGGGGCAGAAAGCCATGTCACGGACAGCTCCAGAGCCTGCCATTGGTCTCGATGAGGTGAAAGATGTCAGCAGAGGATCGGTAACATCTGGATCTGTCAGCCCGGCAACATCATATATAGAGATGGTGCCGTATTGAGTGCCCACTGCCAAATATGCCCCTGTGTTCGAAAAACAAGCAGCGAAGCTACCCCTGCTGTCGGAGCCATCATCTCTTCGTTGACTCTTCAGCAAGATCTTGCCGCACAATTCCCAGCGATACTCGGCCTTGTCGTCCGCCCTGAAAGGACCATTTTCGTCGATGGTCGTCTCAACACGGTGGTGAATATACAAGAACGGATCGTCAAGAATGGCGACGAGGAGCCGACCGTCGGGAGATATTATGGCACGATTGACGTAGTCCGGGTAGGTCACTACATCCAGTGGTTCGACTTTGTCCTGGCCCTCGAAGTCGCGCAAGCTAACCAAAACCACAGTCTTGTCGTTATTTGCTAAGACAGCAGCGGGCTCGGTGTAGGCGCCATGATGCATGGGACCAGCGATAGGCGGGAACCACATAGTTATGCAATTGACGCGGTCACGCGCCAGCTTTTGACTCTTGGCTGTGTAGCTTTTATTTAGTCGACTGCCCATGTTCAACCGTCGCGACTGCGCAACAAGAGAAAAGACGGTATCTTCGGGGCGCGGTGAATCTGAGTCGAAGCCGAGGGGTAGTCGAGCGTCGGGTTCCAGGTTCAGCTGGAGATCAAGGTCGTTGCCGTCATCGGCGGTGCTGTCGAGCTGAATCGCCGTAAACTCGCCAGTCTCTCCCCCGCAGCAAATCCATCCGCTCTCGGCAACTAGACATCGTGGCGAAAACGAAAGGAACTTGACAGTTTCGCATTCCTTGGTGGTGGTGTTGAGACGCTGGACATGGTTGCTTCCAGAGCCTCCGGGGAAATATATTATGTTTTGCTTCTCGGCGCTGATAAGAGATCGTAGTTGCCAATGTCTGAAGATGAGCAGTCCTGTCAGTACTACCCGCATGTGACAGGGCGCATTGGAAAAGGTCAAGTATGACTGGGAGGACGCACTGGGATCGGACTGGAATGCGATAGTGCTTTCGCGGCTTCTTGGAGATCAGGTTGCTGGTCGGATAATATCTGCATCGGTGAAGAATGAGTATGACGATGTGCATTGAAGAAGGGTGGATGGTGTCGTACGAGACGCCATCTTTCACAGCCATGATGGCCTATGGCTATGGGTCGGCCGGAGGAAGGGTCAGTAGGCGTGCATGTAGATGCGCAGGCACGCGGTATGGGACGGCGAGGGTGGTGTGTCGAAAAGGAGTTCGATTCTACGGGAGCACAAGGAGCAGGCGAAGATGGGGAGGGCAGTAGGCAAAGCTTCCTGGCTAAGAGGACATTGAATGGTTGCAGGGTCGGATGTTTGGAGATGATGTGTGAGATGCAAGTTGCGCGAGCGAGAGGCAACTTTCCGCATGACGTCCAGGTCCGTGTATGGCAGGAGGGGCCTGGCCTCGGTGACCTGTCTGATTTGATTACAGCTGGTTGGCTGGCGGTGTTGCGCTCTCGCTTTCGACAAGAGCTGCCGTGTGCACTCGTTGTCCCGGGCGTGGTGCCTTGCTGAGGGGTGGGTACGCCGGCTGTGCCCCACGGGCGGGCAGTATCACGGGCTGGCTTCAGGTCCTGAACCACCTTACCTAAGGCAGGGTAGGTAGGTGCCGATGGAACTGATTGTGATTGGGAGCTTGGGCTGCCACCCGCTGCAACCAAACATAGCCTGCTCAGGCATGGCGTTGTACGCAGTACACTACATACCTAGTTTGCTAGTATAGGTACGCTGGGGGCACCTTAAGGCAGGCAGTCGGAGCTCCGTCTGCTACGACTGGGAGGGACCGGGGAGGCTTAGTCAAGGGTCTCATCCTGAGGTGACGTGTGAAGCTGGAACTCCCATGTAATCAACTCCATCATCGATCTTAGTTCCGCAACAGGCAGGCACGGTAACAGCGTGCGCTATACTCCTTTGCACCTCTGTAATCGACATTTCCGACGGCATCATGTTGCCGGTAGATACATACTATACCGACTTGAAGTAAAAGGTATTCTACCGCACAAGCGCAGCATGCGCCTCTACAGCTTCTCAGTTCTCCCGTCCAATGTTTTGATTCCGAACCCTGTCGCCGATGGATCGTGCCCGAAGGCCCTTGACATCAATACCCGGCTCCATATCCCCTTCGCAGTCAAGGTCTCAGCAACCACCTGGCTGCCAGTACGGCGTAAGCATGTGGATTCAAGGCAACTTGCGAACAATAAGCATGGCGAGATAGAGCCAATAATGAGCCAGAGGTGCTGGGAACGAATTGCCTGCGGCGCTCCCGTGAAGATGGAAGTACTTCAAGAATCCAATTGCACCGTCGCGTATCTGTTCCACGTCAACAGGAGCGCCACACGTTGGCCTCACGAGCATTGAAAATTTCTAGTTCAGCTGGTCTAGCTCCGTACCCGGCGTTTAGCGGGAACGCCCATGACCTGCAATTGCCGGCTCTTCCCGTCACCTCCGGGAGGCTCCAGCATGTTCCTGCCATTCGTTCGTCACGTGCAGTAGCTCTATCGACCTAGGTATTAGCGTCGCAGCCCCTCATTGCTCAGTGTAAGGTACGTGACAGGCAGGCACGCAGGTGCCAATAGGTACCTCCTGGCGCTGGCACAAAGACTGCTACGGTTTTTATTGTACATATTTTTTTTCTCTTCTTCCATTATAGCCGGAAGTAGAATGGGAGTGTCGACCTTACACTGGGTACTCCGGTACCTGCCTAAGGTGCCCCGGTACATTACCTTCATGTTCCAGTGCAAGGTACCATAAGGTACGGGGCGGGGAATTTCGGGGCCGGAATAACCCAAGCCGTCTTGCCGGCCGTGCGGGATTCGGTCGGCTTCTACGACCGGGGGCAAGCATCATTTTCGGGACAAAAAATTTCGACCCTCCCGCCATCATCATTTTCTCGCACCTCACTACTCCTCCCCATCCCTCCACCAACCCACTCATCATTTTGTACTCTATAATTACCGCTCGTCCATTCCTTTTGGCGCGCAGTCCATTTTGCCTCACTTCACATCCCTTTATACCCACACACAGCTAGGCAAAATGATGTCTTCACGCTTCTCCAGAGCTGTAAGTCCTCTCTCCCCGCGCATCGCTGCAGCGCCCAAATCAGAGTTTGCATTTCTAACCCACGACAGCTTCCCAGAGCTACCAGCTCAGTAGCCCGCTCGGCAGGCTTTGCCCGCCAGCCCTTTGCCTCCAAGTTCGCTCGCTATGAGTCTACAGCTTCTGAGGGCAAGGTCCAGGGCTCCGTCATCGGTATCGATCTCGGTACCACCAACTCTGCCGTCGCTATTATGGAGGGCAAGGTCCCCAAGATCATCGAGAACTCTGAGGGTAAGCCATTGTCCCAACTAAGCCAGCTGGAATATCACGGCAAAGCGCTGACTTGTTAATCGTAGGTGCCCGCACAACGCCATCTGTTGTCGCCTTCGCCCAGGACGGCGAGCGTCTCGTCGGTGTCGCCGCCAAGCGCCAGGCCGTCGTCAACCCCGAAAACACCCTCTTCGCCACCAAGCGTCTTATCGGTCGCAAGTTCACCGATGCTGAGGTCCAGAGAGATATCAAGGAGGTCCCTTACAAGATCGTCCAGCACACCAATGGTGACGCCTGGGTTCAGGCTCGCGACCAGAAGTACTCTCCATCTCAGATTGGTGGCTTCGTTCTCAACAAGATGAAGGAGACCGCTGAGGCCTACCTGTCGAAGCCCGTCAAGAACGCCGTTGTCACCGTCCCTGCCTATTTCAACGACTCTCAGCGTCAGGCTACCAAGGATGCCGGTCAGATTGCTGGTCTGAACGTTCTCCGCGTCGTCAACGAGCCCACTGCTGCCGCTCTGGCCTATGGTTTGGAAAAGGAGGATGATCGCGTCGTCGCTGTCTACGACCTTGGCGGCGGTACCTTCGATATCTCGGTTCTTGAGATCCAGAACGGTGTCTTCGAGGTCAAGTCCACCAACGGTGACACCCACTTGGGCGGTGAGGACTTCGATATTCACCTTGTCCGCCACCTTGTTCAGCAGTTCAAGAAGGACTCCAACATTGACCTGTCTGGCGACCGCATGGCCATCCAGAGAATCCGTGAGGCTGCTGAGAAGGCCAAGATCGAGCTGTCTTCTTCTCTCTCCACCGACATCAACCTGCCCTTCATTACTGCCGATGCCTCCGGCCCTAAGCACATCAACCAGAAGCTCACCCGTGCTCAGCTCGAGAAGATGGTTGACCCCCTCATTACCCGTACCATTGACCCTGTTCGCAAGGCCCTGAAGGACGCCAACCTCCAGGCCAAGGACATTCAGGAGGTTATCCTCGTCGGTGGTATGACCCGTATGCCCAAGGTCTCCGAGTCCGTCAAGAGCATTTTCGGCCGCGACCCCGCCAAGTCTGTGAACCCCGACGAGGCTGTCGCCATTGGTGCTGCTATCCAGGGTGCCGTTCTGTCTGGTGAGGTCAAGGACCTTCTTTTGCTCGACGTCACTCCTCTCTCCCTCGGTATCGAGACCCTTGGTGGTGTCTTCACTCGCCTCATCAACCGTAACACCACCATCCCCACCAAGAAGTCCCAGACTTTCTCCACTGCTGCCGACTTCCAGACCGCTGTCGAGATCAAGGTCTACCAGGGTGAGCGTGAGCTTGTCCGTGACAACAAGCTTCTTGGCAACTTCCAGCTCGTTGGCATCCCTCCTGCCCACCGTGGTGTTCCCCAAATCGAGGTTACGTTTGACATTGACGCCGATTCCATCGTCCACGTCCACGCCAAGGACAAGTCCACCAACAAGGACCAGTCCATCACCATTGCTTCTGGCTCTGGCCTGTCCGACTCTGAAATTCAGCAGATGGTTGAGGACTCTGAGAAGTACGCCGAGGCCGACAAGGAGCGCAAGGGTTCCATCGAGGCCGCCAACCGCGCTGACAGCGTCCTGAACGACACGGAGCGTGCCCTCAACGAGTACGCTGACAAGTTGGACAAGGCAGAGGCCGACGGCATCCGTGAGAAGATTGCCTCCCTCCGCGAGTTCGTCTCCAAGAGCTTGGCTGGTGAGGGCACTGCCACCGCCACCGAAATCAAGGAGAAGACCGACGAGCTCCAGGTTGCCAGCTTGAACCTCTTTGACAAGATGCACAAGGCCCGTGCTGAGTCTGGCGAGCAACCCGCCCAGGACGCCAACGCCTCCGAGAACAAGGACGAGAAGAAGCCTTAAATGACTCTTTCGTTTCCTTCGGCTCTTCCTACCACTTCTTCGGGTCTTAAAAACAACCTGATGCGATGTTTGATTACGGCGGCATAGAATTTCTTCCCACTTGTTTGTATTCCATTGTACTCATAGTTCCGGTCGAATCAGGCCGTTCACTCTTCCTTGTTGTCCCTTTTACAATGATTGTTAATACCTGCGGTCGGCGGAACCGGCGTTGGAGCATCAAAACATTCACACGAGATACCTCATGGTATTCATGATATGATCGACGGCATGGATCATGGGGATAAGACGGGGTTGCACATGTACAAAACCAAAACGAATCCGGAGTCGTTAGATGTGAGATAATCTACATCCCCTCTCAAAACAAAAATTTACAATAAGTTCTCTTGCCACCGTTGAGCTCTGTGAGATGAGCAAGTGATCGAATCGCTGTGTGCGTATGCATTGATGAGCAGCAACAGAGTGGGAGGGGGGCTGGCTTCCTGACGCCGGGTGACATTTCCCGCGCGAGGTATCATGGACACATTGTACACACTCCAACTTGGCCATCTTCGCCAAGAGAAGTTCAATTTAACCCCATGTTCCCATGGTCAACGCTGGGTGTCCATTTTTGATGAATTCAAGTGTCCATGTGTCTCATCCGTCCAGTTTGAACTCCGTTTTTCCTTTAGAACGAGCAAAGAATCACAGCACACATCTGCGATGCAATGCTTCTGAACAACACGTAGAAACGTGCCCAATGATCGGATTTGGTATTGCCCTGTTTATCTACCGAAACCAAACCAGCCCCTCTTCTGTGGCTGTTGAGACTTGACCTCGCTCTCAACGTCAGGTTGCTTGCTGGACAGTGGTACCGCTTGCTGAGGCTCCTTGCCCGGGTAGTCAATGTAGTTCCAAGCAACGTCAAGGAAAATGGGCTTGACGGGAATCGTCGCCAGTTTGGGCGGAATATTGACGATATTGGCCAGGTCAACTCCGTTGGAGGGGTACTCGCGAAGTCGCTCAATCAAGGGGATGAACCTCGTGTCATCCTCTTTGGAATCAGAATCCTTGAGCAGGTTGGACAGATGCACAAGAGCGCGATGGCGTTGCAGCTCGCCTTCCAAGAAAGTCAATAGGCCATGTGCGTCTTTTCCCGTAATTTCAATGTGACGGGGAGAGTTGGTAGATGTTTCGCCGAGCTTGGACGCCGCCTTTTGAGCTTCCTCGAATGCGTGCTTGATAAGAGCTAAGGCATTCACCGTGTTACCAATGAGAGCATGAGAGCGAGCGATGGAAAGAGACCTAGAACGATTAGCGTTGAATGAAAGTTTGGAGAGCGAGCAGCTCACTTCAAAGCGCGGAAATATCCAGCAAAAGCCTCAAGCTGTCCTGCGAGGCCTTCGTCATTGGCTACTCCAGGCAGTTCCTTGGCGGCATCCAAGCTCTGCAGGGTTCCTTCGTAAAGGGCCACCAGTTCTTTCAGCTTCGCGGCTTTGCGACTCGGCGTCTCTTCCTTACGCTTCTTGATCGCTGGGTCCTTCTTAGACTTCTTCTGAGAGACACTGTAGTTCTCGACTAGGCCATCATCGCTTCCTGTCAGGACACGGTTTCGGCCAATCCGCCAACTGATCATCTCGTAGTTGACGGCAGTTCTAGTGATCTGCAAGCTCTGCATGCGGGGATCGCTCTGAGATACACCTTCTCCTCGCATGTCGTCGATGGCTTCTTTTGTCGCATCGGCAGCATCTTGGGTTGCCTCGAGAATACCGTCGTATGCTGCGGCGACCTCCCTGGGTTCAGCGTCTGCGAGAGAAGGCCATCGCTGCGTCAATTGGGCCTTGGCCTCCTCTACCCTGCCCCAAGCGAGGGAGATGGCAGCGTCTTCGATCTTAACCTCCCGCGAACGCCAGGTAAGCGTTCTGGGGGCATTCTCGGCATCGGTCTTATCCTTACTGGCCTCACTATCTACCTGCTTGAGCACATTGGGATCGAGATTATTGATTTGTTGGACGAGAGCCGAGTCCGATTGGGGGAATGCTCGCCTCGCAATGGCAGGTATCGGTATCGTTCGCGGTGTCTTCAGCTGATAAGCGGCATAGCGGATCGACGGGTCGATGGTGTCGGAGAGTAGGTCTTTGAAGACGTCTCCCTTGGTGGATGTAGCCATGGCGCTGTATATGGCACGAGCGACGGCATAGCTTTTGAGGGAGGGCTCCCAATGCTGATTCTCAAACATTGCAGCACCTCGGATCTGTGCAGCATAAGCCCGAGACTCGAGCTTGTCGTTCTCGGTAGCGCCAGCTTCGGACTGGGCCAGCAATTCGACGAGGTGCTCTGCGGCCTTTGCGGCCTTGTCGAGTCGGGACACTATGTGAGAGCGCGTCTTTCCAGTAACACCCTTCGCATCAGAAGTATGGGAGGATTTCATGGCCATAGCGTTGGCCCAGGCGCGCTCACTCGTGAGCAGGAGAAGACGTGTGTACCTAGAAGCCGTCAGTGGGCAGGACGAGCTAGTGAGCGGAGGCGGGCGACGCACTCATGGTTCTCGGAAATCTGGTCAGCGGTGATATCTGCCTTCTTGTGGAATTTGCCGCGGTTCTTGGTTGCGATGCCCAGTTTCTTGCGACTGTTCAGTAGCTTTTTGCCTAGCTGAGTCTGGTAGGTTGTATAGTCTCCGTAGAGGAGAGCTGAGTCCCTTCCGGAGATGACAAATCTGGTGATATCCATGATTTCACAACTGTCGGCGATCGAAGTGTTCGTCCGTGATAGTCGCCGTTGTTGAGTCTGCGGAAGCCGTGTACCGCAGGGCTGACTAGGTAGGCCAGATGCTGTCGTGAAAAGGCCGAAATCGTAATTGGTCTGCGCTGCGCGGGGGCGGAAGATGGTGGGGCGCACACTCAGTTTCCAGTGTCCTTTCCACCCAAAAAGTTAAAACCTGCTGAATGGATAATTAGGTACACTTGCTAGGTACTTAGCACCCTACCTTGGGTACGGGGGCCCTTTGGTGAGGTAAGCATGGATAGGTACCAATGGTGGCATGGAATTTTTTCTCAGGGTCCATTCCAGCAAGCCGGGCCGGAAATGTTCCCCTCCAACGGTTCCATTTTGACATGCGCTCTGAAGGCGCTGGATTGGCCGAAGCTCCTGGGAAAAAAAAGTCCATCACACTGGACGATCAATGGGCTGATGATAAACAAGACCTTTTAGCCGCAGCTCGTCTTGTTACTCGGTATCACACGGGAAAGCATTGCCACAAGGCAAATCGATACAGTTTCTGTTTTCAGGCTTCTTGGTCACATTTTCTTTGACCCTCAAGGCCTGTCTTGTGGCGCCCTTCCGGAGGTGTCCGAGCCGCCTCAGGCAATTGTTTTGACGTCGTCGACGTCGTCGATTCCAACCGGGAGCGATAAAGATACTCCACCTCCAAAACTTTTTCCCGCCGAACGCGACGAGCCCGAGGTCTACGACGACAACTCCACGACCAGCATGTTCTCAAGTTCCAGTCTTTTCTACGCTCGGAAGTCATAGTCGACAGCTATTGCTTCGTTGACACCCTCATTCCCAATGCTGGAGAGAACGGCGGCGACCCTGGAATCGTGCACGACTCTTCATGCGCTTCCTTCCGCCACCCACTCTTTGAGAAGTTGCCGAAAGTTGCACACCGGCTTTTGGCAACATGGAGCTGCCCCCATAGACATCCACAGCCCTGCGCTGTCTGTGCACTGCAATGAGCCAGACTCATCCGCCTCAGAGCCGTCGTCTTCCTCCTCGCCCTCGTCGACATCTGCGCCGTACGATGGCCTGGTTGCTTCCACCTTCCTGCTCGACTTTCTATACCCCAGTGGAGCTGCTGCCCTGTTGCGCAGACTTGCTCACGGCAATAATGACCGCCAGCCGTCGATACAGAGGCTACCTCGTAGGTCTCGGCTGTTCACCTCGTCCGCTGTTGCCGCCACCGCCAAAACTCCAGAATCGTCACAATCGGACGCTTCCGATCCTCCTTCGCGGTACAGCAACCCGGAAAGGCCAGTCGATACCAACACGAGAAGCACATTGCGCGCTCGCCTCGGGGAAAGCGAACAAGATAATTCTAAGGGAGACGTAGAGCGGCGAAGAGATGTTGAGGAAGGCGATGTCGACGACAGCAATGCACACGGCCTTACGGTTATTCGCGAGGCCGATGTCATAAATACAACCAAAACCCATAGCGGCCCCTCGTTTGCCGGCTATGGATCGCGGCCTGATCTGATGAGGGACTTGATGGCAGTCGAGCAGACGGAATACTTTGGCTCAATATGGCAGCTTTATTCCCAGCTTGAACCGCAGTTACAGCCAATATTCTGTCCGGAAGTTATAGTCTACCTATACCGATCCGACAACCTTTTAGATGCTCGCAGAATCATTCTCCTCTTCTCTCAGCTCGAGCGCAGCCAATGGACACCAGCGGTTCTTTCATCCGTCGTGAACGCCAATTTACGTCTCGGCAACGAGCGTGAAGCTCTTGAGCTTTACCACACAGGCCTCGATGAACAAACGATGGTTGGCGGACTAGATGATCTCCTCCAATACGGCTTCAGGAAGGCGAAGTGGGATTTTGTGAGACATGTCTGGGCATCGTATCATGTTGTTTTCAAAACCCACGGAATCAAATGCGGAAAATTGGAACGTCTGGCAGCCGTTCCGAACCTTGGTGGCCTCGCAATTCAATTTTCCAAGGAAATTGACACCTGGTCCACCGAGAACCCAGAGAACACCGAAAAGGTCGACACAATCAACATTCTCAAGAAGAAGGTGGCGCGGCGAGCTCTTCAGCAGCCTTGCAAACCGAATGAGGCTCTTCCATTGCTGAGGATCGTCGATCAAGTGAAATGGTACACCATCTACCTGTCTGAGGCCGTCCAAAGAGGCCAAACAGAGTGCCTACCGGAAATATACCGCATCTACCGGGCATTTCCTGGCACGAAACCCTACTGGGCCATCCTGCACGGTATGTTCGAGATCTTCTATCCTAATGACATAGAGGGTCTTGAACAGGTATACGAAGACTATCACACTTCTTACCAGGGGTTGGATCGATGGGGTTTCCGGAAGTTTCTCAAGTTCTATGCTGCGCGTGGCGATATCAAGTCTGCCGAGCGTTTGTGGGACCAGTACGTTCAGTCTTACCAACATCGCAAGGTCCTTCAAGAGCCGGAAACCTTCAACCATTTACTGAATGCTTATGCAAACAATGGAGATCCCGAAGGTGCCCGCAGAGTGTTCGATGAAATGAGGGACCGCTATGGAGTCACTCCCAGTATCTACAGCTGGAACATCCTGCTCAAGAGCTACGTGCGCTCGAAATCGTACGACGGCGGCTTGGGTATTTTTGACGAGCTCTGTGTAGCAACCGCTCCCGATCAAACTTCCTTTGCGACAATTATGTCTCTTACGGGCAGGAGCGGTGACCTAGACATGACATCGGGGCTCCTTGAGAAGGCGATAAAAAAGGAGGTTGTGATCAATGTACCCATCTTGGAAGCCATGGTACACGCTTACTGCCAGAACAAGAAGTTCTCGCATGCCTTGGCAACCTGCGTGAATGCCAAGAAGCAGCTGGTTCCGGGAAACCAAACGCGACTATGGAACGCATTGCTGTTTTACCACTCTGAACGTCGAGCTTTCAACGAGTTGTGCCGCGTTCTGAAAATCATGGCCGAGATGGGGATAGAGTGGACGTCAACCACCCACAATGTACTGCTCCAAGCACTGGTTCGTTGCAAACAAACTCACCATGCCTACGATTTGCTTCGAAAAGCGCTGCGAGACAAGAGCTTTGAGCTCACACCAGAACACTTCTCTACCGTCATGGACGGTGGCTTGCGTACGCGGGAGTACGGGCTGGTCACTGCCACGGAAAGGATGAGACTGCGTAATGCTACAGCGCGATCTGTGGATGCTCTGATTCGACTGGTGGAGGCCATGATTAGGCGGCAGATATACAGCACACTGCCGACTGAAGAAGACGCCGGCAAAGCCTTGTTGGCTTCATCGTTGCAACAAATGATTGAAACCGTTGATGGAAACAATGTCCCGGACAGCGTTCTCAGTGCGTCACTTCGAAGCGCGGACTCACTCCACCGCCTGCGACGCGTGTTACCTAGAGCCATTACGCTCTTTTCACGGTACCGGGACTTCCGCTTGGTCAAGGAGCTTTTTCGTCTGCAGACAGACTTTGGGTTAGTGCCCGCTCCACAGAGCTCTGACGACCTTCCTTTCAACATGCTTTGTGCGTTGTTGAAGGAGAATGTCGAGGATCACAGCTGGGAGAAGGCCAAGGAAACATGGAAGCTCATCTGGCAGCATGCTCTCCGGCTTGGATGGCCACAGACTCGAAAAGGCTCTATGAACGGCAAGGTGATGCAGCGACACGCAGTTATGCTCTCTGCCCCAGTCAATACGATTGCCAAGATGTACCTGGACCAAAAAGACCCCGATGGATTCAAGAAACTGGTCGACAGCGTGTTGAGTGCTGGCTTCACCTTCGGCAGGCAAACTATGAACGCGATCTGCCAGACTCTGGCCAGACTGGGCTACTGGGCAGAGGCCTGCGAGTACTGCGAGAAATATCTCATGCCGGGCTTCAGCGGATGGCAAATGAAACGTCTCAGGAACCGCCACAAGAAGAACTTGCCGCTCGAACAACGAAGAATAGGCAGTGCGCCGCAGTGGCTACGTCCCACTTCATATACCATCGTTGTCCTCGCGGAGGAATACATGGAGATCAAAACTATGATGCCATGGTCCTCTGCCGCCGCAGAAATGATCCATATCGCCAGGGACAAGTTTCCTCGCGTCGTGGCAGCCATCGACACAATCACATACACAGGCATCGGCATTGAGGTGGACGTCTTTGGTGACAAGACGCTGTCGACAGGCCAGGGAATTTTGGAGCGGGAGAACGCCACCACGGAGAATGCCCAGGAGGAAAGCCGACGGCCAAGTTCACCTGGAGCTAGTAAGTCAAAGGATAATGGCTTCGCCCAGCGGTTCGAAGATCGTATATAGACATGCAGATTCCGTGTACAAACGATGCAAATGGTGCGAGGGTGGAAAGAGTCACATATCAAGCGTTGTAGATTGGTGGTTGAATTCTCTTTTTGATAAGAGATGTAACAATACAACTTTTCTTTATTGACACCCCCAAATCTACAAAATATATACATCTGCCAAATCCTTACAAGGAAAAAAGAAGAAAAAAAAGAAAAAAAGGGGGCCGCACGAGCCGGTCGTTGGTGTGTGGTTTGCATAGGTCATCGCATTGGCGTACGCATGATGTCTTGCACCTTTCCCACCATAGTGTTGCCCATTCCTTCATTCCGGGCATCCCCGCTGGCTATACCGAGCCGGCTTCTCTGCATAACAAACAACGCAGCCGTGGGCGCGTCCAAGCTGTAGTTCAGATGGGGGTCGAATATGAACTGCCCACCCTGGCAGATGTTATCGCCTGTGTGGCAGACCACGAGTAGCCGCGTCGAATCAACGCCCTGTATCGCTTTTCCACCGAGCGGGTCGCCAAAGAGGACGACGCTCGATATTTTGGCCTGCGCATCTGTCGGCATTGCCGCGATGGCCAGACGTGCCACCTGCGACCCCTGGGAGTAGCCCGACATCGTGAGCTTGGTGTTTGGACACATGGACATTGTTTGCTGGGCCACCCGGGTCATGAAGGCTGCGCCATTAGGGGAGCCTCCGGCGAAGAACCCGGCGGCAATGGCCGGGTAGTTGTTCACGCCTTGCACAGCAACCGTGCCGGTGCCGTTCATGTAGGTTCTGAGGGCGTCAAAAAAGGGGGGGCCGGTGAGGAAGCCCACGTTGCCTGGCAAATTGTGTAAGCGCTCATGTTTCCATGTTTCAGTGCTTTGGTAGGGACAACTCGTGGCTTACCGGGCTCATTGGTTCCCCTAGCAAACACAATGGCGACATCGGGGCATGTGACGGCCTTTGCCGTGCTATTGTTCATCAGAGGCATTCCAGTGGTGGTGTTCAGCCCCAGAATGGTGGTCAAGTCGTCTCGCAGAAGACCGTTCTCGTCCACGGTCTCTTTCAGGGCCCTGACGACTTGAATGGTCGTGTTGATGGCCTGATTAACGATACCCGGCACTGCGTCGAGTATGTCAAGGGCGCCGGAGAGAAGACCGGATAAATCCCGCTTCTCCTCTATGCTGGAGCCGGCGGCGTTGACATCATTGACACCGGGCTTCTCGGAGATGTCTGCTTGAGGTATCGACAAAGCTGTCGTCTGCCGGCATAGCAGCGCCGCCGACAAGAAAACTCTTGGTCTCATCGGGGCCTGTCGGAAGAAGAAAAAAAGCGTTTGCTTGATAAATCCGGTGAATGGTTTGTTCACTCGCCCGGCTGAGGCGTGTAGACAATTCGTGAGCAAGCGGACGATCTCTAAAGGTTTGGGCCAGATCCGCAGAGCCGCAGGAAGACCTAGATTCGATCATCCAAATACGTGGGATATTGCTTACGAAAAAGATTGTAAGATGGGGGTACGTCGGTGTATTTCAAAGCTCTGACGTTTGCTCGTAGAAAGAGCGAGTTGCGTCACGTAGCAATACACCACACACAGTCTTGGGCCGAATAGCAACGTAATGAGTCCGCGGCGACACGGCATTACGTGCGTTGTTCGGCCCAAACAACTCGACGCCAATGGGCCGGACTAGCTTACCGATGGCCCTCACCTGCTGAGGTCAGAGCATCATTGCTGTTGGGGGAGCGACTCGTAGTACGAGTACGCTCAGCCCCAGTGGCCCGAAGGCGAAGGCGTTTCATCCGCTGCGTCCTACGGCGCGAACATGCCGTATGAAACCATCTGATGTTGATAGCACATAGACAGAAAGCCCTCAAAGCACAAAGGCAAAATGCTGCGCGAGGACACTGCGAGTATGCGAGGTTGGCAGTTGGCAGTTGCCGGAGGTATTTGAGAAAACGGTGTTGAGGTTGGGGGCTGCGCATGACGATGACCCCTCTCTGCCACTCGATCCGTTGCTAAGGATCTCAAAGAGCCCTCAGTAATCGAGAATCCATCAAGGCACTTGTAAAATCCTAAGTGGATCTTCAAGAAGAGTTGGGATTCACGCGTGTCGACGACTGTGACGATGAGCTGTAGTTGCATTTAGCTCACCTTTTCGACTGCGTTCAACGGAGTCCGTGTAATCTAGGATGCACCTTAAAAGAGCCAAGACCGCGGCCTCTAAGTAAGGCGCTGATCCTCGCATTCGGAACCGGACACATAAAAGCCTACCTCAGACGACGTTCAGCGTTGGACTACGGTTGCCGCCTACTTAGACCGTGACCGGGATTCTTCAGAAATTGCTATCTGAACAGTAATCGTATTCTCTATCGACAGCGCGGCTAAGAGCACACGCAGTGAATATACTGACGCCCTTCTATGAACCTTTCCTTTCCCATGGAACTCCTTGATCCGACCCAATACACCGTATAATCAGGGGAAATAAATATGATATGTACAATGCATGTATGTAACTTACTCTTGGTTCTGCTGGTTCCCCAAAGGCACTCCGCCCTGGTTCTGTACTCCGAGAGACCGAAGTCTTTGAGAGAGGAGACCTTCCGTGCCGCCCGGGCTCCCGCGCCCCGACGCATTAAACACATTGCCACCGTACCCGACGTCACCTGGATTCAACTTCTGGTATCGGGCGACCTGAGCATCCCAAATATCTTTTGTCATCGGTCTACTGGCTTGTGATGACTGTGGCGATCGAAGTTCTGCAGTCTTGGTGAAGGCATTAGTGCCATCGCTGATGTCACTTCCTAGGCGACCCCGACCCGAGAGAGCGAACGGGATGGGCTCTACGGGCTGACTGCTGCGGGCAAAATTAAATGGTGACGGGGAAGACTGCTGGTCGGGCATCGTCTGCGGAGAGTGAGAAAGCCCGTCGGTTGCATCAAGGGTGTACATGGAAGGGCCGAACGGGATGCCGGAGCTCCGCCGTCTGAAAGCCTTCTCAGCTGCAAGTGTTGCAGCAGGACCGCTGCTAGTGACCATCGGCGGGTGCATCACACGAATTGGCTTGTAGGGGGTGTACCGAGGCTCTGGGCAAGTTGTCTCATTGCGTAGCTTTTCCTTGCCGTCAGGGACCCTGTTTGCGAAGACGATTCGAATGCTCTTGTAGAGATAGTAGCGGCCTCTGGCAGGACAACAGATGTGCAGATGCACAAGATACCTCAAGATGGGTTTGTCAGGTCCAACGGGGTCCTCCAACCCAGGCGCGTTCTCGATGATCGGACCGGCCGAGTAGCTGCGCTGTCGGATGAACGTCTTGGTTCCTGGTTCCATCCCCATCAAATCATAAGGCACCAAGAACAGCTTGACAGCCGTTTTGTTGGGATTCTTGATTACGATTTGGATCTGACCCTTTTCAGGAATCCGATAGCTACCGCCTGGAGGAGCTCTTGGAGAACCAGATCTCCGTCGCGAGCGTTGCGCTTTGCGTGCATCGAGGTCTGACCCATCTGCCACTGAAGAGCTGTTCCCCATGGTCACGTCGTCTTCGGCGATCCTTCGTTCGGCAACCCTGCTCTGCATCTTCCTCTTGGCCCTTTGGCCCTCCCCTGAATTAGATAGGCCATTCTCCAGATCAATCTGACCGACGTATGGACTGGGTCCGTCTTCGGCGTTGACGCGCCCTTGCGCAGCGCTTCCATAGCTGTAGAACACCGCCGGGAACGGCAGTGTTACATGCGCCGGACATCTCAAGCTTGATTTACATTTGCCCAGGCCCAGCACTCCAATCTGAGCGAGAAATTCAAGTGGTTTTGACGGTGTGGTTGACATGCGACCCCGCAGGATACTCTCCTCATAAGAGCCGACCATAGATGCATGCTGCAAAGGCGACGCGTCGGGGTTATTGAACGATGGGCGTCTCGGTCTCAAAAAGATTGGCGTTTGAGGTGACGTTCCAGTGAGGAATGGGGCATTGGGGGCTGAAGTAAGGGAGCGACGAGGCTGATGTGCTTGGCAAGGCAAAGCGACGCTGCCTCGCTGTGAAGCTCGTCTATGCAGGTTAGAGGAGCTTGGTGACGGCAAAGCGAATGGAGACGAAATGGCAGAATGCAACGTATGCCGGCGAGAGCCCACTCCCAAGGGACTTGAGGCGATGTCGATGCTGTTCAGCGGTAGTGACAGGTCAAGATCGTCATTACTCTCGGACTGGACCAATGGACTTGTGGGAGGCTTATAGACAAAACTGGAAGAAAAGGACGAGGACAAAGACGACGGCACTGATTTGAACTCGTCATGCGACGGAAAAAGGATCCTCCTATCGAAGTGAAACGACGAAAAGTCTCGAGGTGGCGACGTCGCGATCCAGGAAGTGCGAGACGTCGAGAAATCATTGGTCCCCTGACTGCCGTCCACCTCTTGCGCCGTCTCTTGACTCGACCTTGGCTGGTCCTCGGTAAAGTCGCCGCTGTGTAGAGCAGATCTCGGCCTCTGTATGCTCAAACCCGCTCGTAGTCTCTCATCTTCTTCCTTTGATCCGTCGAGTTTCTCTGGGGTGATGTCGGCGGGAGGTAGGAGGTTGGAAGAGCTCGACTGCGGGCGCGATGTCCGGGGAGTGATTGGGCGATTTGGATGACTGAAAAGCGACTCAAACTGATTGATATTGTGAGTAAAAAGACTGTCTCGAGCGCTTCTGGGAGTGCCTACATGGCGATTTGGAACCCAAGTCGGGCTCTCTCCTTTCTTCAAGCGCTCGATCAACTCGGCTCGATCGGACGTGACGGCAGCAGCATCAGACTCGGGGGTCGAAGGTCGGGGGCTTTCGAGTATGGGTCCTTCGCAAAGCTCCGTCCGTATGCTCTCCTCGGATAGTTTCCTCGTCAGGGACAGGAGGATGGGCTGTTCGCGTTGTATGGCGATCGGCTGTGGTGGTTCGCCATCCGGAGTGTCAGTGACATTCTTCGGGTGGTCGAAGTCGTCCTGGAAGATGGGCATTTGTTCGGTAAAGGATGGGTCTGAACCACAGCGGTGCTGTGGTTCAGAGCTGTCGTCGGATTCGCAATGTTGGCGGTAGTTTTTGGGCAGAGGCAGAGTTCGGAACGGTCATGCCTCGCTTGGATCGTGGTGTCGGTCTTTGTCGGGTGGTTTGATGGTGTTAGTCACCAGGTTGATTATTCTTTAACAAATGGCTGCGACAAAGCGAGGCGGTAAGACGTCATAAGTGTGTAGTGTACACCATGACGGGCCGCGACACCCCGATTTCGCTTCGTGTCCCTGGCTTGGTTCTGAGTCAAGCAAGGGTGGCGGTGGTTTGCCGGCGCAACTAATTTGACAAGAACGAGGCTTTCTTGGGAGTGAAGAGAGAAAGAAATTACGGTAAGAGGGAGACGGCGCCGCAGACTAGAAGAGGTTGGTGAGTTGCGGTCAACAGTGCGCTCTCATCCCGCAGTGCATTCTCCCGTCCTGGCTGCCTCCTGCAGCTGCAGCTGCCGTTGCCGTTCGTACGAGGTCCAGGTTGGGTACCTAAGGTACGAAGTAGGTAGCTACCTGTGGTCAGCTGCACAGGACCCGAATTAGCGAGACTGCACTACTCCCAGAGGGGCCCATGGCCCCGGGGGAAAGGGTCCCTTGGCTTGCCCAGCTTCCTCCACCGACAACCAACAGCGGTGGCTCCCACTTTGGCGATGGAAAGTCCTTTTTGGACCGGTTGACTGATAAGCCAACGCCGGCGTATTGGATTCTTGGACAATCCTGCAGTCACTGGCGGCATTGATGAAGTGAATTAATTCAGCAACACTGTACACAACTTCCTTGACTGCCACTGAACCGCCCAAGATCCACCTTCTGAGCTGGCATTTGATCTTGAGTCCCACTCATTGTCTCCCGATGTGGGTTGTCGTTGTCCTCGTGGATGATGAACGACGCGGTTCCCAGCCTGCAATGCGTCTGTCATGCCCATGCAAGCACAAAACAGCACAGCATATCTCAACCTAGCTCATGCTGTATCCATATCCCTCTGCCATGCACCCAACGCCCCTGACCACTGGGAGAAACGCAGCAGCGCCGCCGTGCCACACGCGACAAGTGACTTTTCTGGGCAGCAAGGAGGGGTCATATCCTAGTTCAGCCCAACGATGAGGAACAGAGGAGGAGAAGAGGAGAAAGAGGGGAAAGTAGAATCAAACTCCCTTGGTTGTTGGCAAACCTCTCGGCTGAAACATATTGTAAGCCTTGGACCATGGATAGTTCACGCCTTGACTCGGATGCAACTCTGGTTTGCGAAGCCTTAATCCTACCTAATCCCACTCAAATCCATCGAGGCTTGCGTGACAGTTGCGAACTGTCCAAACCTTGCAGCAGGTATGCGTCGTCCGGACCGCGCGATGTATTCATTCTGTCGGCGACAGCCCGTTCGGCCCCGCAGTGGGCCTAGACATGCCGTGTGATCCTGTAACGAGGCCGACTGTCCCGCCCTCCAAGAAAAACCTGCGCAAACCTAGTTCGACACTGTCTTCGTCAAAGGCGCCAGAAAAACCGCGACATGTACCTCTAATTCAAAGACTATAGCTTGGGTTATGGCGAACGGGATATGACGCTACACTTTTAAGGTGTGCAGTGCAGTAAGTAGTTTGTAGCCATGGACGCTTTCACATTTCATCGAACAAAAATGAAGATAACCTTCGGCCTCATCGTAGGAACTGGGGCCATCATAACATCCTCTTAGGAACCATCGCATACCTAAACACATGCCGTGAGATTTCTAACGGGTCTGATATGCTGCGATCGATCCCAAGACCCAGCGTCGAGGAGCGGTTTCTTAATCGTCAAAGTACCAGCTCGTCCTTGGCATAAATATCGTGTGCTGTTATCTTCTTGGGCTACGCTGCGCTTGCGTTCGATGGGTCTGGTAGACTTGCTCGCTGGCGTCTCATAGACTGAGAGAATCGAGATTTGAAAGGTGATCTTGGTGTTTGCTACGTTGGAGGGAACAAAATTGGTAGCCTTGCCCATGACAGCCGTGACTGACTTCGACGGCAGGAAGCCCAAACCCGTGAGCATCGCAAGACCACATGCCGACGCTTTGTTCTGAACGAAGCTCCAGTTGGACGATACATGTGAACTACCAACCCAGTCAATTGAAGTAATGAACTGGCCGGCCATCGCATTATGACCGAGATCCAAAGTAAAGAAACACAGATTGTTGGTATAAGGGGTATCAATTCTTGTTGCCAATGCTTCCTATGCGCGTTTGCCATCCCTAGGCGACAGCTTTATTGCGAGTTTCGTCAATTCACTTGAAGCGTAAACGAACCTCGCAACGTTGCCCAACGCCCTCTAGAGCCACCTTGGGTATTCATGTACTATGGCACAGTGATGATCATCAGTCATGAGTCTCGCCTGCTTCGCCCCTATGCAACTTCCTGTGTCAAAGGAAAGCTCTACGCTCGTCGCCAGGTGTTTCTCCTACTCAACCCCCCAATCGTCGTCGTCTGCAACATCGTAGTCCATCTCAGGCTGTTGTTCAGGTTGCTGGTCAAGAGTGATCGCCGAGGACCCATTAGGAGCGGCGTTTCCTATGGCCACATCCTGGTCCATCGCGCCGGAATACTTGGACGTGCCGTTTTCCGCCGCGTTCTTGGCCAACGCAGCCACCCAGGACAGCTCAAGCTTACAATCGACGCCAGGTATCTCATGGTTTGTCAGCCCGTAATAGAACTTCTCAGCTGTCTTCCGGTGTTTGAAGGTAACCTGGGTATTTGAGGGCGTGGTGTTGATGTCGGTGAACTCTCCAATGCCCTTCACGAAATTTCGTTAGCGTATCTTGCGCACTGATCAGAGAATGCGCCAACTTACTAGGAGATACTGCCGCAGAGCCTCGTCCTTCTCTGGTGAGGTGAAGTCTACACCAGTAAGGGACACAGTCTTGGGACGGTTGTCCAACGAATAAGCCGCATACGCGGCGTGCACGTCGCCTCCGTATCCGCCGCGGTATGATCCTCTGCCCCGCGGAGCGAAGCCTCCTCGCCCGCGTGGCACAGATCCTCCTCGACCTCGGCCTCTACCGCGGCTAGCTGCGTACCAAGGAGTTGGCTCGTCCATCGCGCTTGGGTCTAGACCAAGGAGCTTAGCCTCGTCTTCCAGAGCCGCAAGCTGTGCCCGAAGGGCAGAACTCAATGATCCCGCGTCCTCATCGGGATTTTCTGGGCTTCCGCGCTTGGATCCCGTCAGTCTGGCCTGGAGCTTCTTTTGCTCCTCGCGATGTCGCGCGAGCAGCTCCCTTTGACGATGCTCCAATTCCTGACGTTGCTTGTCAAGCTCTTGCTTCTTCTGCATCTTCTCCTGGTGTAGTCTCTGAGCCTCCTCTTGCTTCTGTAGAAATTCTTCCATGTCGAATTCCGGTTCGGCCGGATGCTGTTCTCCGCCAAAGTCAGTGCCATCCGCTCCAGCTGCAGCAGCAGCTTGCTCGTTTTCGTCCTGATGCCAGAAGACTCTGACAAAACGGTTGTCAAAGATGACCTTCGGAGAACGGTAGGCGGCGTTGGCGGCCGTCCAAGAGTCATACTTCAAAACCGCAAGCCTTCTCTGCGGTTGCATCCAAATGTCTTCAATGGTGCCGAATTCCGAGAAAAACTCTCGAACAGACTCTTCAGACATGTGCTCGTCGGGAATATTCTCCACAACGATTGTAGTCCTTGTTTCGTCAATGACAGGACCCTCCGCTGAGAACGAGGCTCGGTTCTGACGCCGCCGGCTCTTAGCCCCTTGTCGACCCTTTTTGCCACCTCGACCGCCTCTCTCGGCGTTGAAAGCCTCCATCAGCTGCTGCATTGCCTGGAAATTCTGCGACATCATCATAGCTGCAGCCTGGACATCAAATTCTGCATCCTGATCAGTCTATATTCTGCGAGGTAGAATCCATGAGAGAAAGAGGATAACAATGTAGCTTTCAGTAGTCAACCTTATAATAAAATTTGTAAAGTCATCGCATAAATGCTCGGACGGAGTTCTCATCACGCTACGAGTAGGGAAAGAAGAAACAAAGTCATTTGAAACTTACCACCCAGGTGTGGAGGCCCGTTCGTAGCATCGTTGGCTGGCAACCAGATCGGCTCAGAGCCGTGGTCATACTGACAGGAGCTTCCACGAGCGCAATAGCCCTTGGTCGCGAAATCACGGCATTTCTGCCTGTTTCTTCTCGGACCTTGCGGCGTTCCATATGGAGGCACCTGAGAGTAGGCCGGCATTCGCGGCGACGCGTCGCGCCAGGCCTGAGGGCCGGTGGGTGGCTGAGGGTAGTGGGGATCATATGGCGCAGGCCCAGCTGGGAGCTGCGAATAGCCATTGGCATTTGGTTGGGTTTGGTACTCATTCGTGCCACCATCTCCTCTCATCATGGAGCTTGTGTCCCACTGGCCTCGACGCGGCTGCTTGTACGCTCTCTCGGCGTGACCGCTCGACGCGTCTACATCGCCTCTGTCATAGTATGAGCGCTTTCGCGAACTAGTCTGAGGTAATGTGTCGGAACGACTCGTGTGCGAGGAAGGTTCTGTGTAACGGATTTCGCCTGCAGTCTCGAATCGCTTGTTGGGCGGAGAAGGTGCGCCGGGCAGGTAAGACTTGTATTCAATGACGCGAAACAGTTCGTCGACAAAGTCAGGTGCGGTATCTAATTCATTAGTGAATGGACGCATTGTTCGGAGATTTTTTTGGTACTAACCTGTGTTGAGAAATTGCGGCAGCTCGCTTTCGCAAGCCGTACGAATCGGCGCAGCGTCTCCTTCCTGGGATGCGAGAAGAGCAAGGACATAATCTGCCAGGATGTCCGTCTCGGTATCAGAGCTGCCATATGTTAGGGAAGATGCAAGGTATGACGGGGATGATGAGAGACGGACACTTCGGGCAGCTTTTTCATGAGCCATGCCTTAAGCAAGGGCCCATCTTCCTGAGGAAAAAACATGGTAGCGATTCGGACTGTGCCAAACCATGGAGTTGAAGCAGCACTGCTGTATCAATAAGTCTGATACTTGTGATGTGTCGAAGAAATGGGACGAAGTCATTGTCGTTGTTCGGGGGGGAAACCCTCAAACGAACGAGATTTTCGCGCCTACCGGAGAAACGGATCGTGTGGTTGAAGAAAGCAAGAAGCACCCGGAGCGAGGCTGAACTTTTTTTTATTCGCGCCTCGCTAGGACAGACCCACTTTAAACCTAAGTGGGCTCACTCCAGGTCATAGGCCTCTTCGTAGCTGTCTGTACCCATGCTTCTCTAGGTAAGGTAAGGAGAGCCTACCTTGCTGTCCGTGCCTGTCCGATGGGAGAACTTGCAGGGTCCTCTAATGTCAAAACAGGCACAAGCCCTCGTGTATCAATTGATCAATTCCCAATGCACATACGCACGCTGCCGCTTACTGGCATTGTCACACTCTTTCCAGGAATTGACATATTGAACTTGTTTGTCATCATTCCGAGACTACGCAAAAGCTATGGAAAGAACCGGGCTCTTAATTTTTGATATCATCCACCAAACCCAGTTCATCAAATGTGCCCAGAAAAGCACAACGCCATTTTCTATTAACCCGTGGGAAAGGCGTTTACAGCTTGTCGTAGTACTGAAAACAGTTAGCATCATGTCAATGTGAACAGATATCGAGGGTAAACTTACGTTCTCAACACCCGGAACCTCAGTCTTGAGACCCTTACGCTTACGCATCTCCTGGACGACCTGTCCGACCTTGGAGGTGGCATCGAGAGGAGAACCACCGGGCAGAACCTGCCAATGGTCAAAGACGGACTGAGGGAAAGCCTGTCCGGAGGTGGCCTGGCGCAAATCGCCATTGAACCCGAAGGATTCCATGACGGGCAAGTAAGCTTTGATTGTGAAGAGAGGAGTACCAGGACGCTGCTCCTCGTTGAAAACGTGACCACGTCTGCGGGTAAGGACACCGTAGACACCACCCATGGCCTGCTCGGGAACCTGGATCTCGACCAAGAAGACGGGCTCGAGGAGAGCGGGCTCGGCAAGCAGAGCAGCGGCGTAGAGAACACGACGGGCAGTAGGGATGATCTGACCACCACCACGGTGGATGGCATCGGCGTGCAGGGTAACATCCATGATGTTGAAGCGAGTGGAGCGCATGGGCTCCTCAGCGACGGGACCCTCACGGGTGGCCCACTGGAAACCAGAGACGACGGAGTCCTTGATTTCGTTGAGGTACTGGACAGCCTTGGTCTGGTCAACGAGCAAGTTGGCACCAGTGGTGTCGGGGCCGAAGGTCCAGATCTTGCGGGCGTCGGTGACATCCCAGCCGAAGTCGTCGGCGAGGATACGAGCACGAGCCTTGAAATCGTCACGGGGGCCGATCTTGCCAGCCTCGATCTCCTTAGAGAGCTCCTCGTCGATGGGCTCGGCGATCATGTACAGACGGTTGTGCTTGTTGGGAGACTTGGACAGAGCAGTGATGCTGGACTTGCCGGCAACAGTCTCGCGGTACTGGACGACGGGGTCGGAGATGATGAGAGGGACACCGGCGTGGTCGTTCTCGAGATCGTTCAGGCAAATCTCCAGGTGAAGCTCACCAGCGCCGGCAACGACGTGCTCACCAGACTCAGAAGTGTAGGTGAGGACGCAAGGGTCGGACTTGGACAGACGCTTGAGACCCTCAACAAGCTTGGGGAGGTCCTGGGCGTTCTTGACCTGGACGGAGCGCTGCACGACGGGGGAGACGGAGAACTTCATGACCTTGAGGTTGTGGGCGGTGTCGCTGGTGGTGAGGGTACCAGACTTGAGAAGGAACTGGTCAATACCGACCAGACCGACAATGTTACCGGCAGGCATGTCGTCGATGGCCTCGACCTTACCACCCATCATCAGGACGGTACGCTGGATGGCCTTGATGAAAAGGTCCTCCTTCTTGCCAGGGACGTAGTTGGGTCCCTGGATGCGGACCTTCAGACCGGAGCGGACGGTACCGGCGAAGACACGACCGAAGGCGTAGAAACGTCCCTTGTCGGAGGTGGGAACCATCTTGGAGACGTAGAGCATGAGAGGACCCTTGGGGTCACAGTCACGAATGGCAAGGGCAGCCTCATCATCGGGGGGACCCTCATACAGAGTCTCGGCACGGTACTTCTGGGCCGTGACGGGGGAAGGAAGGTGGAGAATCATCATCTCCAGAAGAGCGTCGGCAGCGGGAAGGAAAGTGCGCATGACAGCCTTGAGGAGCTGCTTGCCCTCCTTGTCCTTGTCCTCAGTGGCGAGCTTGAGGTCAAGCTTGGAGAGAAGGGTGGTAACCTCATCCTTCTTGAAGTTCATGACAGCGGAGAAAATCTTGAAAATGGGGTCCAAGATGAACTGGTTGAACGCACGCTCCAGAGGCTTGCCCTCGTGGGTGCCCTTGCTCGTCCACTTCTTGGTATGCGGGTTGAAGTAGCTGTCACCCCAAAGTCTAGAAGGAGAGGGTTAGCAAAAAAATAAAAAATGAAATTCAACGAGTAAGTTCTGTGTCAACTTGCCTCTCCATCATCTTGTTGCGGTCAACACCGAACTTCTTGGCGTAGCGGACGGCAAACTGGCGGACGGTGAAGGCCCAGCCGTGCAGACCGGAACCGAAGGCGATGGTTCCCTTGTAGGGGTAGACCTGGACGTCACCGAGAGACTTGTCGAAGTAGGTGGAGATGATGACGTTGACGGACTCGATGGTACGAGAGAAGGACTGGTACAGGTCCTCCTTGGACACCTGAAGCTCGAGAAGAGCACGGTCGACCTTGTTGATGATGACGACGGGCTTGATGCGCTCACCGAGAGCCTGACGCAGGACAGTCTCGGTCTGAACGCAGACACCCTCGACGGTGTCGACGACGACGAGAGCACCGTCAGTGACACGGAGGGCAGCAGTAACCTCGGAAGAGAAATCAACGTGACCGGGAGAGTCGATCAGGTTGATCAAGAAGTCGGTACCATCGGTCTTCTGGCCGACGATATCCTTGACATCCTCGGGGTCGACGCCGTGGTACAGAGAGATGGCAGTAGACTTGATAGTGATACCACGTTCCTGTTCATCTGCACGTGTATCCGTTGCTCTTGCGTCTCCTGCCTTGGCGGTGGAGATGATACCGGCCTTGGACAGGAGGGAATCGGTAAGGGTGGACTTTCCGTGGTCGACGTGGGCAATGACGGACATGTTACGGACGTTGGTGGGCTTGTCCATAAGCTGCCGGATCTCCTCGATCGTGAAGCTGTGATAGTGATGCCATAGTCAGCCAACTGAAGCAGCGATGAAAGCTTATCTCCGAAAAGGTGAGGTGTTGTTGCTGCAAGTCGGGGTAGGGAGTGGCATTCCTCAATAGCGTAGGTGCCGCAGCGTGCCAACTCGGCATCATCAAGGAATTGCCCATCGCCGCGGTAAAAAGGGCAAAAGCGCGGGCGAGATTGCCAACGACGACGAGAACAGGAGCAGGCAACAAGAGTGGACTCACTTGACCATTTTGACGGCGGTGGCTCGGCGAGCACTTCAAAAATTGGTATGTGTAAGGTTGAAGTTGGGCGAAGCGGGGTTGAAGAATTTGCCCCGCGCTCACAGAGTGCTGAGACCTTTTTCTACTTGAGAAAAGAGGCAAGCAGATAAAGCTTGTGAGATGCCGAAGGTTGAAAGACGACGGTTCCAGGAACGACAGGGGAACTTGAGCTCCTCTGCCACTTCTTTTATCGTCGGGGAGATGATGGGAAGGGCGGGATGGGGAGGAGAAGAAGAAGAGAAAATTTGGAAGTGGTGCAGGCTCTGCTTGAGGTGAAGTGGGTTGGGTTGTGCCAGACGTTGCCCCGAGGGAAAAAAAGTTAGTGCTGTTACGCCGTGGGTGCGTGGGCGCTGGCCCTCGCCGGATGAGAAAAATGGGTACGGTGGGGCGGCCAGAGAGTGAGGAAAAAAACCCCGCCACTCTCGCCCTCCTGCCATATTTTTTTTCCCCCCACCCACCACTGACCAGTGCTCTCTCCAACCACAGCAACTGCAAAACATCACCCCTTCACCACCTTAGGTGTGGTGGGATGAAAGTGGGCACCCTTCGATCGCACCTGCTCATTCGGCCACTGAAAGCCGCGTGAGTCGGCCATTGAATCAGCCTGCTCGCCGTGGCGCCACTCCGTCCCCATTTGCTGCCCGTAGGATTAACACTCTGCATACGCTCCCGCCTGTGTTGACCCCTCAGTACCCAGACACCTACCCATGGTTCACGCGTACCTGCCCGTGCCTACTGAGCGACCGGGCATCGATGGCGGCCCCAAGCACCCCAAAGTAAGGTAGGGTGTCTAACGCCTGTGCTGAGCAGCGGTCCCTTCCCTGGCCCTTGGAGTGCTACCTAAGGTACCTTGTCTACCTACTTACCTAGGTATGCGAAGATGGAAGGGCAACAACCCTGGTCCCCTCGCACCAGAAAGTCCGGACGGCGGACACGAGCTTCAGTGTCTCATCAGACACTGGGCGCTGCTCGTCCGGGGTCTCGTTATTGGCGTCGCCAGCCAGACGCATCTTTGACACAGAACCCGTTTGAATTAGACCAAGCTCGATGCTCTCTCGCCTTAAAATTTTCTGCTGTAGACCATCCAAACCACCTCAGTAATCCTGGGATTGTGGTTTCAATGGAAAGACCCAAAAAGCAGCTTAGTGTGGCAGACTGTGCGAATCCAAAGCCCCGCCCTGGCTGTGTGATCAGCAGCCCGGCCCCCTCCTTGGGACTCGACCCCTCTGTATGACCCAATGACGACGTTGACCGGATTAACTCTGCCCAACTGCCAGCGTTATCCGGCAGGGAGTCATCGGCCTTCCGCCGCAACTATTTATTCAACCGGTCGGCGGCTGAAACAAAATGATTCTGTGAATAAGGGCGCGCCGAACGACTGGATTTCCAGACCGAGCTGTATCTGTACACTCAGTTGGATCCGGGCCACGTCACAGAGCACACCGAGAAGGTCTGTATTGGTGGCGGGGCAAGGTCTAGTCACATGATGCATTCTGTGAGGAATGCGATTGGGATATATGATTACTAAGATAAGACGGGACTTCCATGTTCGCGTCTGGTGTGTACGTGAGGCACGCATCAAGCTCATTCCCCGCAAACTCCCTTAACGCCGAACCAAAACTGCAAACAACCCCCAAAGCTTAGGTACTTATAGTACACGCCGAGTGACTCAACGCTGGGTTTTATGATCCCAAGATTTTAGAGTACGCATCTTCCACCTCGCCGGCCAACTCAAGTAGAGCTACGATGACGATCTGATGCGTCAGGTTGGGCAGCCGGTCTCGGTGAAGGCCAATCCATTCTAGCGGCGGCGTTGCCTCTCCCATATCCCTCAACTGGGGTGTCTCGATAATGGGCGGTTCCAGTGCCACATAGTCGTACTTCGACTGCGGCACGTTCACCTCGGCCGTGATCTTTTGCTGCGATGAGCCTCCCACCTGCTGCTCCTCTGTATCTGGCACGCCCGTCACCTTGATGGCCGTGAGCGGGAGCTCTTTGCCCCAAGTCTGCTCTAGCGACTTTGCGTGATTGGCCCACATCCCTCTGATATAGCTGATGCGCGAGTAGTTCCATCCCACCTCGACTTTGCCCTCGAATGCGCTCTTGAAAATGTAGTCGATGCGATTTTGATTCGGCGTTTGCCATGTTTGCATGACTGCACCCACCTTGGGCACCTTCAGAATGGTTCCACCACGAGACCCTGTGGCTCTCTCGACCACGTCCTCCACAGAAATTTCACTAAGCGTCTTCGGCGCCTCAATATTTCGGACGCCGGCGAGTCCAATACGCAATTGACCGAGCGTGAGCCCCAAGATGCTGTGGACGCGCCGTTGTTCAATGCTTGCGGCGAATCTTGCTTCCGCATCCAGAGCTTCCATTTTGAACACTTGGTGGTCCGAAAACGTGCTCGGAAATACACCAAGATTCAGGGCCTTGAGCGTCACCACAACATCGGTGTCGAGGGAGATAGGTGACTTTGACAACGTATCTTCTTCTCGGAACTTCGGCAAGCTTGTCAGATGAGGAGACGCCGCAGTGTTCCCATAAGACCGTCTCCGCATGAACTTCTCGATTTCTTGCAAGGACATTTCGAAGTTGGCCCTTCGTTCTTGTATCAGCTTCTGCACTGCCTGGTAAAGAGCAACACCTTGCGCTGCAGATGTCGTGGTGCCAAAAACCTGTACCGCGTCTCCGTCAAAGATGGCCACCAACCGGTCTCCGCTGCCTTCGAGACTGCGACGAACGTTGTACATGAGAAGCTGCAGAGATGTGATGTCGGCTACGAGGAACGCTTGGTAGTCAAACGCTGCCTTCACTCGAAATTGGCTGAAGCCAAGCGATGCTTGAACAAGAGGTGTTTCGTTGAGCGCTTGCTCTCTCTCAGGCCATTGGATTGACGTCCGAAGCTGAAATTTTTGGAGGGCAATAAAGCCACTCAATCTGCCGGTGCAGTCGATGCCAATTCTTTCGAAACCAAGGCAGAGATTTTGCTCCCAGTCTGATGTCTTCTTCGATGAAACCCAGAATTCTTTGATGGCGAAAATGGATTTGCCAATGGCTTGACCCATATCGACGCCGACGTTCAAAGAGGCAATCGATACTGTTGCTGTCCAAGGGAACGCCGCAGTTGCAGCCACCTGCTGGTATCTTTGAACCAAGTGGCCTTGCGACGTCTCTGTGTTAAGCTTTGCCACTGGGGCCGTAGTCGTGTTTCGAAGTTCGTTAGGATACCAGATCTCGCGGAAAAGCAAGAAGTCCTGAAGCTGTTTGGCGTTGATTGAAACATTCATAGGGCTCACTTTGAGAATAGCAGACACGCCACTGGTTCCGCTGACGTGTTTGCTGTTCATCAACGATAGCACAATCGAGTCAACGTCAAAGCTCCCCGTCGACTCTCGGGAATATACATGCTGAACGGACGCTTGGAGCTTGGAGAACGCGCCTGATATGGAGAAGAAGTTGCCTTGTTCCACGGATCGTACGGTGTTGACGGTGAAGTAGATGTCGTCAAAACAGGTTGTGGCAGCAACGCGGGCGATGGGCTGACAACTGAGTGAAAACTCTTGACGACATATTCGAAGACCGAGGTTCAATTTGAGACGACCAATGACGGCGTTCGGGTCGGCAGTGAGAATGTTATCCTCGTTGCCAGGTTTGGGCTTGGATGCTGCAGGAGTCTGAACCGCCGGAGCATCTGTGTCCTTGCTGACAACCTCTTTAACGCTCGTTGTCATATCCATGATTAATGGCACAACGGAGGGATACAAGATATTGCTCGATGCGTCGATCTTGATTTCGCCGTACAGGGAAGGATCTTCGCGGCCGTTGTCGCGATACTCGAATTTCCAGGCCAGACCTGGAGTCCTGAGCACAGTGCTGCTGCCGGAGTCATCAGTGCTGAACTGGCCATATTTTCCGGCCAAGGAAGGCCTGCCAGTTCTTGAATTTCCACGAAGCCCATCCGTCGGTTTCTTGCCAGACACGTAAACCACAGCACCCGAGAAGTCAGCGTCTACCAAAAGAGATTCTAGACGTTTGGTGCCGAAGACACTGCGTCTCGGGGGAGCCGGCTCTTCGACCTTCTCTATCTTGTCGACTTTGGCAGGAGCTGTTCCCGTGGTCCAATTTTGCGATGCACGCTGCACATTCTTGATTGAGAGCCCGATGGAGTCATTCAATATGGCCGCAGGAATGATGAAGCCCGAGGTTAGACGAAGATCAAGCGACTTGCCAACTGCCTGGAACGCCAAGCGGCGCGTGTTGGGGTTGGAGACGTATGCGATGTTAAAAACGACCTCCGGAAGCAAAGCCGAGTGAAGAGACCTGAGGCTCCTGTCTTGACCCGGAGGAACCATTTGAAGCTGGAAGTTCTCGATGGTGAGTCTGGCTGACTTTGTCTGGCGTGTTCCAAAGCTGACCAATTGAACTGATAGGATTAGGTCTTCTTTGTTCCCTGCAAGTGGCATTAAGTCGTCCGAAGGATCTCCAACGAGCCAGCAAACTTGAGTGTCGCGCACTTCAAATCGGTAAACAATAGACGAGAGAAAGGAGTCAATAATGTCCGGTTCCTCCATCTCCTCTTGATCGTTGATCGCAATGCGTGGTCTGGTTTGCCGAATTTTGCGTAGATACTCAAGCTCTCGAGAGGTATCGAGATCTTTGATTTTGTCGCCCATGTAACCTAGCGCAGCAACCACCGTTGATACAGTCTCGGGTGATAGATTGATTTCAAGCCCGTCGCTCCTGAAGTTGAAGGATCTCTCTTCTCTGCCGTCCTCTGTGGGACGTGTGTTTGCTGAAATCAGAGCTCCCAGAGCAAGGCTGCCGCAAGATCTCATCGCGTTGTCTTTGCCCTTTTGTACGTCAATCAAGATCTGCCGCAGGTTGACATGTAGCTCGGGCTGCGCCAAGATTGGCCCATGGGACTCGTGCCGATTCGAGACTTCCAGATGCACTCGATCCAAGGCAA